TAGGTAACTATCGGCCGGATCTGCGCGCTTATTAAACAAAAAACGATCACATCGCTAACAATAAAGCACTCGGCGACCGAAAGTGATAGTCTAATAGATATTAAAGCGAGACCACGACTATAGCCAGTAAATGGCCGCTAAAATGACAAGTCACTATAGATATACATGCCTAAGAGTATCATAATGCCTGCGGCGGCATCTATTATCTTACTTTTGTTTGTACTTAGACATGAAATTCGAGAATGGGAGACTAGGAAAATTATTTATGTAAAGACTGTATAATTTGTGTACCACAAAACAATGCCAGAAGCGAAATGAAAAGGGAAATAGCAAATCCATTCTCGCACACCTGAGTGGCATCTGAACAACTGAGCATTCGTCATCCGGCGCTAAATTACTGGAAAACATAGAAGCAAATACGGCATAAACCGTCGGGAATGGAGAAACGGAACGCGAATGTCAAAATTGCGGCTATTTACAGTGCATCAAGTTAAGCTGGCGGCTGTAACATTGGCTTGCGGTTGTTTGACAAATGAAGTTGTTGTACTTCATGCACAGACGGAAGGTAGCGATTTAGTAGCTACTGTATTAACCGGAATGACTGCGTCGTGTGAGATGCGACTTAGAATTACGGAAGAGGAAGTATATCATTTACTGTGGCAAATTTTGAGTTATTGCATTTTATATATTTTAATCTAATCAACACAGATACCAAATTCTATTTTTATTTCATGGTCGGCACCTGAAAGGGCTCAACGCCAACTGATAGTAGACACTCCTTCCGCGATGTAATCGGGAACGCACTCAGCCCTGACAACTGAGAATGTAAACTAGAATAAATTTAAACAACTAATGACAGCGTAAACTAATTAACAAATAAATTTTGCCTTGATCTTTAGGTATAATATACAAAAGAACGAATATAAATATTTTCATTTCATTAAACCTATTATGAAATTGAACAATATTTACTAACGAAGAACATAAAAACTAAGTATTAATTATTATATTATTTACACCCATATTAACAATCAGCTGTTTTTACAGTGCTGTATTTTTTCCTAATATAAGTATTTAATTTTAGACATTGTTTACAATGACCTGTTTTAATGTTCGCTTTTCGCTGTTATCAAATAAAATTGTTACTCAATTACAATTAGTCGTATTTATCCGCTGTAATATTTGTCAACGATAAAATATTCATGACAGAATCCCTGGAAGACTTAATTTGAACTCGGTTGGACAGCGTTTAGAAAACTACGCTACATGTGTACATTCAAAGTACTTCAAAGTTTGAAAACGAAGGTCTTTAAGTAGTGCGTGTTGTCAGCGTGGACAAACGGAACTGAAACATGGTCTTATACGGTTACCCGTATGCAAAAACTTCAAGTTACTCAGCCAGCTATGGAGAAGGCTATAATACCAAAAGATAAGTAATCTAAAGTAGCAGTGGGCTGGTCACATAGTTTGAAGAACTGACAACCGATAGGGAAGAAATAGTTCTTGAGTGGCGACTCCGTACAGGCAGTACCTGTAACGCAGTGTAGGAAGATCACCATTATCAATGATCTCAAATGCATTGCAGAGAGTCAGTGGATGCAGGTGGCTCGGGATCGTTCCTTATGGCAGTCTACGGGGGAGGTCTATGTTCAGCAGTGGGCAGTTAACGGCTGATATAGTAATGATGACGATGATATAATGTTTAACTTTCTTTAACATTTGACTTCAATAGGTAGGCATTGAAGTCAGAAACTTGAAAGTTTGACACAATTTTAATAACAGGATTTCCGCGGATTTCCGTTATCTCAATGCCATTTATTAATATATCTCTACCAATATACACCAATAGAAGTACCTAATAAATTCGATTCAAATAGGTACATGCAGTAGATATTTACAGCATGCTTAATGTTAACTTTTTATAGTGCAATAAGAAAACCATGAGTAGTCTGGCCTTCGGTTGGCGCCTGGCATCAAATTGAACGTATAAGACATACTCGTCTTGTATTTATAGTCGCACTCTTTATTCAGTGTTATACGATCTAAGATCATCATTACTTACTTCTCCGCCTGCGCTGCTTCTTGACATTCACTATAAATTCACAGTAAATTATGAAAATCTAATTTACTTTCAAAGCCAAATTAAGAATTCATATCTTGAAAAAGGCAAACGAAACCTATAAGATTTGAATTTCCTTGTTTCTTTACTTGGTCTTCTCATCTTTTCTGTTTTAGCCATGGGTGTTTTTTTTTTGGATTTCTTTTCACTTTATTTGTTTCTAGTTACTTAGAATTATTAAGATTATTAAGGTAAATTTTATTTTTCTACCCTATATTATTATGTTATTAGATTCCAAAAGATTGCGAAATAATAAAAAAAAAAAATAATCATTGTTCTTCTAGTAAAATACACAAAGATTACTAAAGACTAGGTTAAAAGAAGAATATCCACATAAACATATTCAATTACAGATCACTACGAGTATATTAATTATCACAAAGATACATTAATATTTTTTGGAGTTAACAGAAAAAATAGATAAAAACTTTTCCAGTACAAAAAACTCTCACGAAGTTTTATACTTTACTATCAAACACTGAGACAATATTATTTTTACACTAAGAGAATTTTTCGAATTAATTTACATATTTTAATAAATATTTTATTCATCACCAATAAACCTTGAACTACACAAGTCCGGTGCATACAGAACAAAACAAACAAAGCAGAAGGTGTGATAACAGATCTCGAACTTGGGCCATTTAATATGAATACATAGGACATTTACATACAGCTACATTGACTACCGAGATGAATCGGCGCGATATGCACTATCGAGGATTTAAGTAAAATAAATGGAGCTCTTAATGCGTCTTTGAGAGAATTTCCACAATTATCGACTTTATATCTCTGACGTTAAGAAATAATAATTCAAGTGGCATTATTTACCTCAGTATTACACCCACGACACCCGGAAGGTGCACTTCGGTCCCAAAGGTCGTTTGATCTAACTAGGGACGTTACTTTATATTATTTAATATGAATTTATAATGAAAATAAAAGAGGAAACCGACAATTATTATGCACCTAATGCCATCTTTCTAAACTGATTAGGTCATTTTAATATAACTTTAACGCTGTATAAATTATCCAGCTGTTACTCGCGACTTCGTCCGCGTGTTCGGGATAAGATAGTATATGAAGGGTATAGGCCATTTTATCCCAATCCATTTCATATAGTCGTGTATACAGAATTTCATAGTGACTGGTTAAGTCGTCATGGTTCTGTAACAAATAATCAAACTCGCATTCACATTTATAATTCTAGCATTTACCTGCGACTTCGTCTACGTGACCATGGTAAGTTAACTGACCGGGAGAAAAAATAGCTTATTAACAGTGTCCAAGATCCTATCTATGTCTATTCTCAAATTCATCATAATCGATTCAGTGACTTACATGTGAAAGCGTAACAAACAAACAAACTTTTGCATTCATAATATTAGTTTAAGATTAGTAAGGATTCAAAATTATGTCTTATAATTGACTTTTTACACTAATAACTTTTAACTAACATTATTGTTCTATCCTCACTCCAATCAATTTTTGGATAGGTAATTGTTCGTTGACATACAATGCCTTTCAAATCTGCACTTCGGTAAAAGCAATAGTGGTGTATTAGTAACTAAGACTAGAGATCTCATTGTTAGCTAACAATATATAGCATAGTTATGTACGAGTATATACGTTGCCAGCTTAAATTAATTCTGTCATTTTGAACTTCATACGGTCGCTTTAAGACATCATCGCGGTTTTTTTTTCATGGGTGAAAATGGTATGGTAACCCCGCCTGCGCTAACGGGATACGCTGGCGGAGCACCAGTGAAGGTTGATCGATGAGAATGAAAACAGGCCAGTTAGCCCATCATGATAATTTCATCAGGAATTAACCATGATAGTTTCCAGGGAGAACTGCGAGAAGGTCGACCTGGTTGGGTATATTGTTAGCAATGGGATTCTCAGTCTCCATTACTAACAATCCCTTTCCCCCCAAATCATCGCGGTTAATTCTTGAATTCGTTATGATGGCTAATATTATCCTCATCTATCAAATTTCACTGGTTTCTTGTTAACTTATACCAGTAGCTCAGGCGGATTAACATTTAACTTTCATGAAACAAATATCTGCTAGCGATTGCTATTCGCAATACACAATTAAAACTGAACTGAGTCTGAGAGCATAAGAATTTGTTCCTAAACCTACTATTTTATTTATTTATTTATTATTTTTGAGGGAAGCTTACAACTATAATAACTTAATAATTAATAATAATAACTAATATATCACAACCTAACTACATATATAACAATTACAATAAGCAAATTAAAAGCTACCACAAATAGCTAACGAAAATTGAATTACTTTAAGTCTAAAGAATTAATAAATGTCCAAATACAGGCTGAATGTCGTTAATATGACTGAATAAATAATTTGCGATTTTTTTTATGTAACTGCTACTATTATTAAATATATCCATTTCATTATCCCCACTACATAAAGATACCATACATAAATGAAAATAGTGGAAGATCATATATTAATACAACGTAAACTAATTAATTAATAAAAAATTATAGTGAAATAAATTCCACATTTTTAATAATAGTTAGTTAAATACATTATTATCATAAAAACCGCAACACATCGAACTTTCATAACAGGGAATAAATTTCGCAACTGGCAGCATTGCTCATGAGAATATATCCTATCTAATAAGTTTCATAATTTCGTAAAAGACATCAAATAATTTATTTCATACCTAATATTTAATAATATTTAAATGTAAATTAAATAAGGTTACCCTGAAGTAGATAACACGTAATTCCCTATTGGTTAACTGAATTATTTATTACAAGACACAGTGTAGTGACACATTACTAACTTATCTATTCTAGTAGCGACCAAGAAAATCCAGTGCCTACACGAAAAATAACGATATTTACTTGTTGCAAGACAACAGGGGCGAACCCACGCCTGCGCAGTTACCCTCATCGATTTTTCTCACTTTGACAGTTACACCGATGTTTTGAGCCAACACTCGCGTTCTAGACAACAAAGTAAACAAAAAAATGGCTTTAGATTTTTCTGCTACGTATAAGCTTTTAGTTTTAGGCGATTCAAATGTAGGGAAAACGTGCATTGTGCATAGATATTGCGACGAGAGATATTACGATATTTACATATCCACAATAGGTGAGTAAAATATTTACCTTTCGGTTTACGAGCCTTTGTCAGTCAGGTGATGTTGTGTTTTAGTGCATCTTTGTAATATAACGAATCTGAGATTATGTTTTTACATTACCAATGCAAAGTTGGAACAATGAAGTATGTGACGCCACAACAGCACACATTCTATACTACCTAACACTTATTACAGGTTATTTTTTTTTATTATTTAGTTTATTAATTATTTGACATTAATTAGATATTAATTAAATTTATTGTAAAAAGTACAATATGTAGTTATTATACCTACTAACATACATTGATACCTTTACATATAACAATAGCTAGGTACCGTCTCGTTCAAGAATGAATCACCACTGTAATTTTTTATATTTAATGTTGTAATAATTTATTTTAAGTATATATCTATTTATTTGCGTGTATAATTAAATTCAACTTAAATTTCATTTAGATATACTCACTTGTAAGTCATGTTGTAATTGTGAAATGATTCATAAAAGACATAGGTAAAGACTAAGTAAAGAGATAGGTACTATAGATTTCTATGTCTTGTCACAGAAATGTCATATACTAGTAGTATAAATAAAGGATAATAATCTGTAGTCCTCATTCTTATGGCATTGGTAAAGATATGCATCAGATAGATACTTACACTATACTTTCGCAATTTGCTTCTCCAATAACTTTACCGTTTCTTACCAGTTCATCATTCTTAATGGCTATCTATTGCGCAATTTATATTTGTTCTTTACGTCACTAATCACAAATTATACAGTGCGGTTAATTTTATTGAAGTTACACAAAGGAAATAGAATCCTTTGTGTATCGCACGAATATGTTGTATTTACTTTATAAGTGAAGAATATATTTTATTTGTCGTATGTTTCCAGGCATAGACTTCAAACAAAAGATCATAAATCTCGACGGCGTACCGATCAAGCTCCAGATATGGGATACGGCAGGCCAAGAGAGGTTCCGTACATTAACCACTGCTTACTACAGAGGTGCTATGGGGATTATCCTCATGTATGATATCACAAATCTCGAATCATTCAACCATTTGTCTTATTGGCTGAGAAACATTCAAGAGGTAAGCGCCTGATATACTACGTTTAGCAAATTTGCTCAACAACATTTATAATTTTAATAGAAGGAGCTAGACATTGTTTATAGAGTACGTGATACTACGTCTATGGTTTATAGTAATTAATTTTTGTATTAACCACAAATCGATGTTTTTGCAGTAGTACAGTTAATTTTTCTTTTAATAGACAAACAAATAAAATATCATTATTTCGCACCTATGAACACTTGGCTGTATTCATAAATGTAATAAAGTTGTTACACAATTCGTATTTATTTATTTATAATAACTATAAAAGTTAGTTTATTACTTCTTAGTGCTTTAACAGCTTAATGAATCACTTTATAATTCAGTATACTACGTACTGACAGGGATGGTAAAGGATATTGGCTACTTTATCTTGGTTAATGAACATATCCTGGTCACGCGGGCGATGTCGCTAGTAACAGCTAGTATTACTATTACTTACATTATGGTTTGCTTAATTTAAATTTACATTTTACATGATTATATTATTACCATATTATAATCGTGAACAGTACAGTTTCAGAGGAGCTTTCTCCCGCGAAAGTTTAGGTTGTAGAATGACCTCTTTACCAAGGTTTTCTCTAAAGATTACTCGATAAGGTTCTTCAAAATAAGTTTATTAAGCATTCTTCAGGGTCGACAATGCGCACGTAATATCCTAGTATTGCAGATGTCCATAGAAAACAGTGGTAGTTTACCATCAGACGGGCTTTTCGCTTGTTTGTCACCTCTGTGGTATAAAAATATGTATTATTATGGATATTTATCTAAGTATTTGATAAGATAATACAAAGCACTTATTGAATCAAATATACCTACGGTTATTTCAATTAGTTCCGATGAAAAACATAAGTACCTATATCACAGATATATAGATATACTACGTATCTGTGATACTATATGTCTATCAATCATAGATAGATAGACATACTATAATAGCTTATATCAATGCTTAGTATTATACGGGCGTTTATTATTTTACAGTATGCTTCTCCAGATGTCATCAAAGTATTAGTTGGCAATAAATGTGATGTTCACGAGAATCATCGTGCTGTTCCCAAAGAAAGGGGCCAAAAGGTAATATTTTTCTACCATAATTTATTTTGACCATGAACTGAGCAAAATAATTATCAAACTCTCTTTTACGAAAATATCACGTACGTGTATGTTAATACACATAAATAAAACCATTAGAGAATTCCCTTTTTCTTGAAGTCGCTTAGAAATTAACAAAATGGTGATGGCGGAAACTTAGAAAGTGCCAATAATTTATTAAGTAAACTGAATACGTTATCTTTGATCTTCTTGGTCGGTAGATGGAATTTTCGAAAATGATATATGGTCTATGTTCCTCGATGATATCACAGCTTTCTATAGGTGAAAGAATGTTTAAAATCAGGTAAGTAGTTTTTGGTTTTATACATTACAAACAATGGCACATTATATATTAGTACAGATTTAAAAAATACAATGAATGTACCTATGTATGACGTAGAAAATTTATATTATTAGTTAAGCTCTCAAAAATATTATGGTTGAACCCAGATGGTTGGCTTATTTGCCTTACTCGTGAACTTGTATTTTTTTTTGATGGGTGAAAATGGGATGGTAACCCCGCCTGCGCTAACGGGATACGCTGGCGGAGCACCAGTGAAGGGTGATAGATGAGAATGAAAACAGGTCAGTTAGCCCATCATGATGAATTTATCAGGAATTAACCATAATAGTTTCCAGGGGGAACCGCGAGGAGGTCGACCTGGTTGGGTATATTGCTAGCAATGGGATTCTCAGTCTTCATTACTAACAATCTCTTTTGTAAACTTGTATTAATTTACCGTGCTTAACTTTTAGTTATTTGTTATTTTCTAATATTCTTAGTTACTGGGATAACAAGATTTCGAATCCTACGGTTAAATAATAAAAACATTTTAATATTTTACTATTCTATTTAATTTCAAGCATTTATAAGTGCTTGAAATTTTATAAATAATATGTTTATTTTATTCTATATCTTTATTATATATTTTGGTTTCGACTAGGACATCAACGAAAACTGATTTTTATCATTATTCTTTAACTCTATAACAAATAGAAAATTCAAGTGAAATATATACAAAAAGTACATACAAAAGGCAGTTTTGTCGGTAGAGCAATCTTTTACAGACAAATTATGGTTAAAGGAAAACAGGCAGAAGTTATTTATATAGATCTACAAGTATAAGTTGAGCCGGCAAATGTTATTTTGCCCTCTGTTGAGTCATTCAAATAGGTACATAATTTGTGATAAAAACTATACTACTACTATTTCTCAAATTGCGAAAAATAAAATTAAAGTCGGTTAAGATATTCCGTGAACAAACACCAATTTTTACATATTAAGATATCATAAATTATGATATTTATGAGTGGTAAATTTTGAGGATTTCCGCGTCTATTGAGGAATTTCATTGACATTAAAAGTATTTTACATATTACAGATAGCCGACGATTTCGATATGCCCTTCTTCGAAGTATCGTGTAAAAGCAACATAAATATTGAGGAAGCATTTTTGACGTTAGCAAGGAAAATTAGAGAATATAGAGAGACTAAGGTATGTAAGTGTTAATAGTAGGGGAAGGGTAATATAATATATAGCAATATCTATATATTTTTATTATAATGCCTATATACTAGTATAATAATATGTTTAGTGTGTTATTCAAAAAATAATATTGGATAACAGACTTTTAACATAGTCGATAACAGATATTCGATCGATATGGACGATATAGAAATTGGTAATGACTTTTTTTCCGCCATCAATGCCCAGAGGAAACCAATTTATAAATATCGCATCGGTATTCATACTACCTATGCCTAGTTAATAGTAGACATTGTGGAACATTGTCATTTACTAATTTAATTGGACAATTAAGAGATCAGATTAATTAAATAACCTTTTGCGTTTTAATGACAACGGGTTATTAAGGAACTTTTTAAATATATTTTTATTTCTATAATATTCTGTTATTATTAGACAGAGAGACAATATCTTTAGTAATATTATAAGGGTAATGAAATTTGGTAAATATGTAGGTACTACTTGTGATTCAGAAGAATATACTTTTTATTGCGATCAATCAAAATATACTGATCGTGCGAATTTGTGGGAAGGAAAGAAAATCTAGTAAACTATTTTACTGTTTATAAAAAATAAGATATAAAACAAAACTAAATTTATTCCATTGATATAATTCCAGGCGGATGCTTTCGAATTCAAGGAGAGGGACGACGTGATTAAACCATCGAAATCCGAAACGGACGTGTCAAAATGTAGCTGTTAGTTAGTATTAGATTAATTCATTACCAATGGATCTGTGTACATTCCAACAGGCATATTGTATTCATATAGTGCATGATACTAGTACAGATAAGCCTGTTGTAATTGTACTAGGTTTGTAGTACGTGTGTGTAACCCGCGTAGATAACAACTGTAAAATAGTTCTAGAAATTGGGTTTCTATCCTGGTATTCAGACGGATAAAACTCGTCTGCATCAGTGTCCTATTTGAGTTTCTTCAGTCAAGCAATCGTGTTTGCATGGATATGTTTCAATTTAATGTATGGAACATAGTGATGAAATTACAACTTAGTTCTCAGGATAACTAAGTACTGTGGTAACACAGTGCTGTCTGTGACCTACATGGTGCTGTTCATGATTATGGGTGATGGTTATTACTGTTCTTCAGGTGGACCTAATTATTTTTTTGCCTGATTATATAAATATTCTAATATGTTATATTTAAATGTGATTATATATAATATAATATAATATAGTCATATTTAATTAATAATAGAATTGAGTTCCTGGATTCTATAAATGAGGTTAGTTAATGATTTATATCAGCATTAGCTATATGTACACATAATAATCTGTTTTTGTATAAAAAAATAGTGTCATCATACTCGTATTAAAATAATAGTAGGTAAAATAAACAATAAATCAGTTTTTTTTTGTAATTATTAGTTGAATAACAAAGGTCTACAAAAGAATATTAATGTTGTTTAATAGTAATGCTCTGCAAAGAAAAATAGATTGTAAGTTATACCAGGATTACTTGATTGTATCTACTCGAGTTACACGTACACAAGCAAATCATGCGTCGTGTAACAGCTGCATCTCCAAAGCAAGTGACTGTGTTACTGAATCTCTACAGTAACTTGTTTGAGGAATTTATATCGAAAGACAGGGGCATAAAGCCACATGGTTCATGGTGTACAATCTTAGCGGATGTAGCCCCTGCTTAGTAATCTAGTACTAGCTTCACGCATATTCTGTGTGCTATCTTGCGTGTAACAACTGTCGCAATTTCCGAACGCACTGCAATTGTGGTACATTATACTTGATCCAATATAAAAAAAAAAATGTTTAACTAAAAGAACAATCGTTTGTACCAATTGTCTGGCCTTAGCATATTTCTCAGGAATGGTAACATAGATACAGAATGACTAAACTTTTTTACAGGTAGCGTCCTTTTCGGTGACGAAATTCCAAAATTGCTACTAATTACTCTTTAAGATATTTTTTTAAAAAACAATCTGGTAATCTTTTTAATCTATCTTAAGTTAATAACTATTTTTTTTTATTATATTTTTATTTGTATTAGATCTCAAAATTTTGTGTTTATGAAATAAATCCATGAACAAGAACTCAATTCTTTTATAATCTTTAAAAGAAATATATCCATTGATATTCTGATAATTGTTAACAGACATTTTCAAATGTAGGTAACGATTAAAAATATTAAGTAGGTAGTAAAGTCGTCTAGGTAAACTCCAAGACTTACTCATCTACCTAATATTTTACCTATAGAAAATTATGACGTTCTAATTAGAATCTTACGATTTACAAAAATTTAATTACTTTAAAGAGTTCGAGTAATTAATAATGTACATGGCAATACTAAGTACTAAACTTTGCCATTTATCTATCATTCTATTTGTCAGTTATCCAAAAAATGAAATGGTATAAATTACGGAATTTCGCTTCCCAATTTCTATTTAGACTGCCCAAAATTTTAGCTTTTAAGTGATTTACATTGAGTTCTATTTAATCATAATTTTATGTCGAATAAAAATTCACTGTATTACTACAGTAATAAAATACATTTTACTTTTAAAGAGCATTTCTTGTTCTGTATTAAATTTACCTGACACATTCACACCTAAAGTATATGTTCAAAATATTCACTGATGGCATAAAGAATTCAGTCAATTTTACCTTTACCTACTTTGACTGTAGAAAGATTATACAATGTACTTTTTACTGAATAAAATTTAGTATCTATATAATATATTACATATTAATAACTAAAACATTTCACAATAAGAGGGCCTTTGACCTTGTAGGTAAACATTGGAGCCTACAAAAACAACTTGCTCAGCAAATATTATCCAAATAGACTCGACGAAGGCACAGTATATCTAACGAATTTAAATAATTATTAGGAATGGTATTTGTAATAGCTCGTTTGTTACAAAATATAAAATATTGCATTTCTATCGGGCGAATTAGTTACGACTAATGCGATTATATTGGAGAAAATGCTTTTGATGTTAAATATAAATCAGTAGTTATTAAAATATATACTCTTTTTGGTAGAAAATATATGCACATAGGTAATTCGGTTAATACCGTAAAATGTAAGCAACAATAATTATTTTACGAATGGAAACCGTATTATTCCATTTAATTTATACTAGGGTCGACTTTGAAGTGACATTCTCTATATCATAAAATTTCTGTTCGATAATATATTGTTGTAAAAGTTATAAATATAGGTAAAATTGAGTCAAAGCTATTCTAAATTTAATTCTTGATGATTCGTAAAAAACAGTTTTGATTGATAAACTATAAGCAATTTCTTAGTTATAGAAATAGGTTTAGAGAATGACATCTCAGTATCGATCCAAATGTCTTTTATCTAGTGCTTAGCACTTAAGGGGCTGGTCCCAATTTTATGTGATTATTAGCTGCTGGGCAGCAATATAAATCGATATTGAAATCATATATGTCTGTAGTATTATTCTGTAAATTTATTATATGTTAAACTAAAAAGATTATCATATGTTCATTCTATTCTTTTATGCAATATAATATACAACGAATATTAGATGTAAAAGGGTCATAATCAAGAGATTTAAAAATGAGAATTATAAGCATAATACTTATTATTAATATTTTAAAAAATAAGTTTTATTTTTTATTATTAATTACACATTTTATCATTCTACATATACATATAAAAATGAAAAAATATATTGGAACGAAATTTTAATATTGTGTGAAATTTCCTAAGCAATCAATCCCTTGTGTTTCTCTCCAATTAATCACATTATTTGTAACAGTGATTACATCACCAGCACAACTAATATTAGGTTTTAATTGTTCTATGTATAATAAAGATTTACTATAAACATCATCTTTTATTTTTATCCAAAATTTGATGAGAAAAATAAAAACATTAAGGGCGCTATTTCTTAATTTTAATATGTATAATATTTTTTCAATATAGGCTTTCGAAATCGAAATCGTTAGCAGAACATAAAACTAAGACTCTACCCATGCTATAGATACATAATATTAGAATACAAATTTAGTGAAATAAAAAATAAAAAAGACAACAAATTTAAATATTCTATACAAACTTAATAGCTAAATGCATCGTGTAAATATGAGTCTTCAAATTTTTGCCGTTTTCGACTCATGTTTCTATGGTGAAAATGTTCATTTTTGCTCATAAAATACCCCCTTCGATTTTGATTTCATCTGTATACAACAATTCATTAGTATGACGAGTATATAGTAAAAAATTTGTTTTTTGACTAGTGCCCTATTTAGTGATGCCCATGGAAATCATCAACTTTAAAGATACCTACATAAATATAAATCACCTTAAAATCACCTTCAACCTTATGATCACCTTAAAATATGTAACGTATTTCATATATTTATTGTCATTATGTAAGATAATATTTCATAAATTCCTACTTATAAAAAATCCAAATTTTTTCTTTTTCTTTTTGTGTTATGACTAGCATCTGTTTCAGTTTTTATGATCTCCTTTTTTACATTAATAGTATTTGTTATTGACAGACTTTGTGAATTGGATTGACTGTCGGGTTCTGATTTTATATTGGCATTAAGTTGATTTCCTCTAATACCTTCGTTTTCTTCTTTTCTGTAATAAACACAAATAAATGTTATGATAGTACATTTAATGATATTACCTAAAAAAACATGTATTTTTCTTTAAAAAAGTATGCAGGTAAGGCACAGGTAAACATAAGTTTTGATATGAATGTAAACAATAATGTACTTTAAAATACCCTTATCTAATACACCTATCTCTGTAAAACACATTTTGAGTAGTACATGACTGTCATATTAAGTAAACACCTATTAATATTAATATATATTTATAAATAGCATTATAGTCTATAGTTTATTGAATGTTTAATGTTTTGAGGATCTGGTATTCATATAACTTTATTGGAAAAGTAAAAATACTTACATAATGTTATTTGTATGTGGTATACTGCATATTTTCTGTAGCAAACATTCAGGTACCTGGAAATCACCAAAAGTATCTTCATACTTTTGATGATTTTTCATATGGTTCTCGTCATCATATTTCCCTCTTAAATGTTCTGAAATAAAAGTAAAACTCAACTTAATATTCTAAATAATTTAATAATGAATGTTTTAATTTTTATGTATTTTATAAGCAAAAGCAAATATTAACTTCTATTTGCTTAATAATCAACAACATTACAGACTCCAAATTTTTTATGGATGGATAAAGACGGAATGGTGCACCTATCTATGCTAAAAGAGAGTAAAAGTTGACAAATGGTACTTCATATTAAATCAGGCAACATTTGTTAATTTAAATATAGATATAATTCTTACAGGCAATTTGATTACCTAAGTAAGTATATTCTCATCTAATAATGTAATGTAAATAGGACTCTATTTTCTGCGCTTAGCCTCTCATTTGGGCCATTTGTGCGTATGATTCTCATCTAATATTATATAGTTTGTTTGTAACCTTATAGCACCATGACAGCTTAATCAATCACTATGAAATTTGGTATAAACATACTATATGGAATAAAGAAGGATATAGGCTTCTTTTTAATCCGGTAAGTAGCTGTTTTTGATGGTGGGCTCATATTTCTTCACAAAGATACCTTGTACAAACTATAATCCCGGGCAATAAATATATCCCAGTTACATAGATGAAGTTGCGGTTAAAAGCTAGTATTAGAATTAATAGATCTAATATATATTTAACTCTATAAGAAATTTACAACCTATACAACAAGCTACAAGATATTTTAAGAAGAAGCAGTATTTAATTATACTTTTGAGGTCACTGTTCACGCAGATATTTACCATACTGCCATTGCCATTATAAGCTTATTATTTCTATTACTTAATAGTTTTCAGAAAGCCTTAATACTTTACCTTTCTTCTTAAGCCAATATCTTAATTTATTTTCACTTTTTTTCAAATCATCAATTATTTCCAACAAAGGTTGTGTTATTTTCTGGAAAAACTGAAATAATACATTTAATCAATAACAATATAGAACTGATTAGTTGATTAGAATTATTTTGTTTAATTTCACTACCATTAGTATATATTTAATCGCCAACTATTAACTACTATTTGCTTCACTTCTAAACAAAGCATTTTCAGGCAATTAATGTATTGCTAATGAAGATGCCTCATTAAGAGGTAAAACATACGTCCCAACATGTGCATAGACTGAATGATGGTCAGAAATTAATGACTAATAGGGAAGGTCATAGAACATCTACTAATAATGGCAGTTACACACATACTAGTGATAGCGGAATAAAATAAAATAATTGCAATCAACTAGTTATATTAACTTCCATAAAATGCATCTAGTTCAGTAAAATATTAATAATATGAAAATATATATACAGTGATTTCTCTGTATAAGTAACCTCTCTATAAGAAATATTTTTTATATTTTATTTAATTTACTCAGCTTAATTAGTAAAACAAATAAGAAACTTTTTTATTGAAATTGGTTCAATTATCCAAAATGAGATATGAGATATTTTCCATCATTAGCTAGTAGCCCATGTAATGAAAGATAGTTATGTTGCACATAGACTTGTCAAAAGGATAGCACTGAATCTACCATTTGTTTATTATATATATATATATTATATATATATATATATATATATATATATATATATATATATATATATATATATATATATATATATATATATATATATATATATATATATATATATATATATATATATATCTTTATAATTCATACATATATTACTAATATATTTTTATATAAACAATATCTATCAAGTACTTTCATAGAAATCTTCAGTCATTGCACAGAGCCCAAGAAGTTACCAGAAAATTTCTGTGCTTATAGGTAGAGCTAAACTGACTATGTTAGACATGATTTTATATGTACAATGATCTAAATGACAAGTGAACAAAATGAACTGCTATTTATGATGTACATGTGGAGATGAAGTAAGAGTACAAATTTTTTACCAAGAAAATAAAACTTCTCTTGTGGTGATGTATTGTATTATATCGTTATATCATTAACTGTCCACTGCTGAACATAGGTCTCTCTCTGTTGGGGGGATTTTGCCAGTAGTTGCAATACTTGGCAGTTGGGTTGAAAACTGCAGTTAGACGTTGATATTTTAAGAGGGATGCTGCTACTCATCCCTTGACCATTTAATATACCTATCAAAAATAACTTTTCAATATTATCTTTTACTCTTTTGAATCTTTTAACTCACCAATTCTTTTGAGGCCTCTTTGAGCCTAAGATTCAATTTCACAGAATATCCAAAAGATTTAACCATATTTAGAATTAATGTGGTTCCTTCATGATTTATTTGTATACTTTTTAAAGTACTTGTGTCTGATAACATTTGGAGACCTTTTTCAATAAAAGAATTGTCCTCTATCTCCAGTTCGTTACTATTCTGTAACAATATTTATTAACAGCTTAGTATTTGGATTGGCTATTCCTTATGAATGTCAAACATGAGCATCATAGAGTATTAGGTAATTGCCATAATGCTTTTCATGTCTGTAAGCGAAGGTTCCACTTCCTATTAGTCAGCTTATTTGCATTAAAAACATTATACAGAATATACTGTTCTGATAACTAAGTATGTAATTCTATTGTTATATACCAAAATAAAAAAAAAAAAGATATATTCCTTTAATTAAATAAGACAAATGATTGCAATGCAAACAAAAATACGATTCTATGGATTAGTTTGCCAAGATGACTTGTTAATTCTAGGTATATAGATATGTTAATTATATGATAATTATTTTAAATATTTTTTTAATTAAATTAATTTTTTTAATTACAAACCTTTAAGTTAGCCAAAAAACTAGTTTTATTGAAATTTGAAATCCATAATGTAATATAATTCGTGACTAAAACTTCATAGTCGTTGCTCGAAGAGAACATTATAAAAAAGGAAGGATCCTTTTGTAAAAGTTTCCACATATTGTTGGGGCTATGCAACAATTTTTTCTAACTTAATTTCATCAATAATGCCTTTAAATTCATAAAGTAAAAATCTAATTGTAAATAATAATCAACTTAATAAAAAACAACTTGAGACTTGATAAATAGTTATTAACCAATGTCATCACTGAAATCATAAGATCGTTACTGTCACTGTCAAACGAAAAGACTGTCAATGTTAAATGTCATGTATAATCACAACAGGAAAGACAAAGATACTAAACGTAAAGTCTTTATTATCTGTGGCACAAACATAGCTATGTAAAAATAAACTGTGGTATACAAAAATATTTACTATCAGATAAATCTTTATTGTTTCCTACAAAAGATTACAATAGTAAATTTATTCTAGGTATAAACAATTACAAGAAATAATCACAATGAGAAAACAATGGGCGACCTTATCGCTAAAAGCGATCTCTTCCTGGCAACCTTTGGATGGACTTATTTTTAATGGGTGATAATGGAATGGTAACCCCACCCGCGCTAACGGTATACACCGGCAGGGCACCAGTGAAGGATGATAGGTGAGGATGAAGCAGGTCAGTTAGCCCATCGTGATGAATTCAATAAGAATTGTTCACGTTGGTTTCCAGCGGGAACCACGTGGAGGTCGACCTAATAGGGCAAATTGCTAACAATGGGGCTGTCAAACTCCATTGCTAACAATCCCTTACCCCCTACCTTTGGATGGACTAGTAAAATGAGTGGTAATGCATGAATGCTATTATGGGCGATACAGTATACTCGATTATGTCCATAGTATTACATTTCAACAGGTTCGCTTATTTGTCATTCTAAGTTGCATAAATAATGTTTATAAAGAATATTTTTTTATCTTCAAGAACAGATAGGTTATTATTCTTTATTTGCTTCTACATTATGCTTATTATTTATTCTTTTTATTCATGGTGATAGCACTGAAATAATTGAAGTAATTATGTATATTATATAATTTTAGAAATAAATATATACATAAAAATACGTATATATTAATGTCTAAATAAATTCCTTTTACATAATTAAAAGTCATACAAGATTTCCGATTGAAAGTTGATTTAAACTCTGAATTATAGCTATAAAATACGTTTGTTACTAATATCAAATCTAGAAATATATATAATTAAATCTAAATTTTATAAAAAAAGACTGCCTTGGTTTTTAAGTCTGTGGTATAAAGTCTTTTTTAATGTCTGCATACCGCGGTTATCTAGGTACAATATATATGTACAATATAGGTGTATAGAGCTTAGGCTTGTAGAAGTAGAATACATAACACGTACTGACTCACCTTATTGTAAGTGACTACCGCTGCAACACTTACAATACCAGGTGCAAGAATTGCAGGTGTACTACAACGTAAGGTGGTCTTTTTTAAAGAAATATACTCATTCTTTAAGGTTATAATTACCTATTAACCGTGAAGAATACATTTTTCTTTGGGCTTTTTTATGGCTGAAATTTTTTTTTATACAACTTAGAATGGCAAACAAGCTGACGGCCCACCTGATGGAAAGTGGTAACCGTCGCCTATAGACATGAGCAGTATCATGGACGTAACAGAGTATACTGTTTCGCCCATGATACTCCCCATGCGTTGCCATTCCTAAGGACTCAGGTGTTATTGCTCTGTACCCAGTAAATTCACGCTATATCCCACCCTTCAAACCGAAACACAGCCATGCAAACACAACTGCTTCATGGTTGAAACTCGAATGGAACAGCAATCGATATTTGTACAAAGTCTCCCTCTGGTAATGAAATGGCAACCCTGCCTATGCTATCGGTATACGCTGACAAGGCACCAGTGAGAGATGATAAGTGAGGATGAAAATGGGCCAGTTAGCTCATCGTGACGATTGCTACAAGAATGAACCACAATGATTTCCAGGGGGGCACAGCTAATAGCTATTGCTAATAATGGGAATATTATAACCCATTACTTACAATCCCTTCACCCCTTCTTTTTTGGGTTTATCGCGTATTTATGTATCTTATTATCATTTCAGCTGTTAACTATCCACTGTTAAACTTAACTCTCCTTCATGACTACCTGCAATGCGTTTGATGTCATTGCTCCATCTAGTGGTGGGTTGTCTTATACTGCGTTTGCCTGTCGGTGTGTTGCCACTCAAGAATTTTTCTTCCCAATAAATTGCATTATTTATTGCTACAACTGTAATGTATTAATTAAATTAAAAACACTAGTCATAAGTTTATTTAAGTACATTTTAAGTACCATTTATTTTTTGCTAATGGAGCGGTTTATTTCATTCACGCTGTTTAATTACCGAAGACAGAAATATGGACGTTGATGGAAAATATGACTAATGGAGTGCGGACATGTTGGTAAAGCGGTAGTCATAATTAGTTGCTGGGCGAGTTTTGTTTCGTTTGTGATTAATTGAATATTTGCACTACGTAATAATATATAAATGTATAGTTAATTTAAAATTTTCGTTGTTACACATATTTTAAATACGCGACGAAAGGATGGCAATAAAAAATTAGGTATATAGGCAGTATTTACTTGTAATCGCGTCACGTTAGGTCCTGATCGGGAATTAAAAATATATTAATGTGTATTTACAATAGTCTAAACTATCTAATTTGTAATTTAATAAATTAATTACGGAGAGTAATAGGTTACCAATAATGTTCGTTGAATAGGACTAGAGATCCTATTACTGTCATGGTAAATATTTGTATTTCATTATGTTGCAAAAAATAATAATAATACCATCAATAGGTAAGTATCTAATAATCGAGGGATGGGCAGCAGCTTTCCTTTTAAAATGCCACTAAAAGCTAACTGTGATTGCCAACCCGCCTGGCAAGCGTGGTTACTATTGGCAACATCTCCCTCATGGGAGAGGCCTATTCTTAGTAGTGGAGAGTTAATGGCTGATACAATGATATAATATAGTACATTAGTACAAGAGAAGTTTTACTACACTGGTGATATTCTTACTTTATCTCCATTGGAGATGGAGTAACCCTGGTAAATAACAGTTCATTTGGTACTAATTCTCATTTGGATCATTGTGTACGTAAAGTTATGGTTAATACAGTCAGTTAAGCTCTGCCTATAAACAGAAGAAGCTTCTTGGTATCTTCTTAGGCTGTATGGAATGACTAAGAGTTCATTTAAGAATATTTAATAGATATCGTATATTTAAATATATAAGTATAACACTAGTGTACGTATAAATTATTATAATTTATTTATTATAATATATTAGTTTTAAGCAAATATATACGCTTAATGGTTCATATAATAATAATAATAAAATATGAAAATAATAAAAAATAAACTACCGTTGGTTGGGAATGTCCGTGTCGCATACTGGCGATGGGTTCCGCATATAACAACATATTGATCAATACATATAATAAAATCGTAACTGGTCGCTATCTGTACATGGAAGATATATAAGAAAAACTATTATAGGGGGCTTTATGAACGCAATAGAATTTTTGTCTATTAGTCTGTTTATCTGTATGTTTGTGCAAGTTAATCTCAGAAACGGCTTAACCGATTTGAATGCGGTTTTCACTAATACATTGCGATTTGCTATATTTAACTTTTAGTGTTTGTTTTATTTCAATCGGTTCATAAATAAGACTTTCGTTATATCAAATATCTAAAGAATCACATATAAAATAACCGATCAGTCGAAAAGCTGATTTTTTTTTATTGTATGTATTGATTTTGAGAATTCTGTCTAATCGTGCGAAGCCGGGTCGGATCGCTAATATACAATAAATAATGTCATATTATGTCAACGTGCATTAGACGCGCAATGCCTAAAGATTTATCGTTTGGCCAATATGTTGGTTAGGAAAAAGATATTAATGTCAACATTTAGTTTTAGCTATCATTTACGAAGCCCTCAGTAGGTGTTATTCCAATCTCACCTGCCATTTGAAGTCGCAGTTTAAATAAGTATATATATACACGTATCAGTTACAGGTGTTTGAAAGAATTTAATATTTTGGATGTATTCGTAAAGCCACAGCGTACTTGTAAGTAATAGTACACAGAATTTAGGTTTTAGATTTACAATAACGTAGGAGTACCTAATGAATTGTCTATCCATTGTTGCCTATACTATAAGCTTAGAAGTATATTATTAAAATTATGAAGATTTAATAAAAAACTTAAGTTTTTTTATTTTACATTTTATATTAACTTATATTGTTCTACTGTTAGTCATCGTTCGACGACAAAACACTACCTATCTATATACAAAGATACATTGGATTTTGTTTTTATAATAGATTGGTAAACGAACGTGCGGTTCACCTGATGGTAAGTGACTATCGCCGCCCATGAGCATCCGCAACGCCCACTGGATGGAGATCTTTTTCCTCATATCTGATAGTGTTATGTGGTATTGCTTAAAACAATATACATACATACATATTTATCTCGTCTGTCTCCCATTTACATAGGCAGAAACAATGACAAACCAAATGCTTCAAGAAATGCTTAGCAATATGGCATAGTATTATATTTTTAAATAATATACAGAAATAATTTGGGCACAGTGTCTCCTATGTATGACATCCTAGCATAATTAGTTCAGACGATAATAATAATTAACGCATTACTACATTATAGCAGAAATAGGTAAGATCGTGTATCCAGGCAAGTTGAGTTACATAATATTTTATCCTTACCCACTGAGTGTATACATACACTCTTTAATACTTGTAGGTAAGGAGGAGGGATTGTTAGTAATGAGGACTACCTCCCTGTGGTCCGCCTTGTAAAACATCCAGAATTCGAGATATATTTATTACGATGGGCTAATTGACCTGCCTTTTCATTTTCACAGGGATGATATCCCTCACTGGTGTCTCGCCAGTGTATACCGTTAGCGTAGGCTTAGTTACCGTTACTTTTCCATTATCACCATTAAAAAAAATATTTATAGGTACTATTACTTATTCCGTGCCATTAGATATTCTGTAGCTTAGACTAGTAGGTAGTAATTAGCATAGATAAACTAAATATTTACACAGAGCAATATTCGTTGCTAATGTTTTAGTATATCTCAATCTTGTATTATTTTATGTGTTGGATTTGCTAATGAAATAGCAACAGTAATACTATAGTCTAAAATC